TGCGGTTTACCCTCGAAGTAAACCGATTAAGATTCTGGTTTTTATAGAAAAAAATCATAGAATTCTGCAAAAAATATATTTTTCCTACTTGCGTGCGGAAAAACGTTTTTTGCGCACGTAAATGTGTGCTGAAAGTTGAATTTTCCGCACGCTGTGTGGAAATAGTAGTTTGTGCAACAAGAGTGGATGTGATAGAGTGCTCAATCGTCTGAGTCCGATATGGACAATCCACTCGAGTTGTACAGAATATTTTTTCTACCGCCCACTAACGAAAATATGAACTGTGATTGGTGGATTTTATTTTTTTTGCAGTATTCTCACTACCTAGAATGGATATGAAATATATTTGTTCGGTTGAACGCAATGACATACCTTTTCGTTTTGTAGTCTGTGCGTAGATAAGCTAATATCCATGTGAGTGTAGAAAAAATATTTTTTTACAACTGTTAAAAAAACATTGGTATATCGTCATAGATACGCAAAAAAAGTTTTTTTCACATGTGAAAAATTAATTTCTTTAAGCATTTCGCCCACAACATTGAGATACGAGATAGAACCCAACAAAAAGAGAGGTATCATATTATTTCACTTATCTATCTAATTATTTTCAAATACTGTCTGTACCTGTAGACAATACACTATCTTAGCATTGTATGCTTATTACTCTTATTACGAGACTCGCGTATCGGGGACAACACTAATCATTTGTAATTACTGTGGTGGGAGGTGTTTGTGTGAATGCGCCTTGTTTGTTTTCATTTACGCCGTGACTAGCAGTAGTATTTTATAAACTTTAGAAGCAAATTTCACATACATGAACAAATAATAATAATGCCGTGACAACAAGAAGACGAAGCAATGACTTTTCGTAGGGTGGCGGCTTCGCCGCCACCAGAAAATTTTAATCCATACCTAGCTACGCCAACCGGCATAAACACCAACGGCCTGAACACAGCTGACATACTCTGTCAAAAGGAGACCGATGTACAAATAAAACGCGTACGACATGCGCACTACAAATGATTAGTGTTGTCCCCGATACGCGAGTATTACGAGTAGTATTATTAGTACCATGTATCGGTGAACTACAAGTCCGGCATCGGCACACGTTAGACGTCGTGTGTCGCAAAGATTTGATTTGTTTGAGAGTGTTTACTGTCACTATACTGTTTACTGTCACTATACTGTTTACTGTCACTATACTGTTTACTGTCACTATACTGTTTACTGTCCGGGTAATATGAAATGCGAGTCCTAGCTTGTTTGGCGTTGCAGTAATTTTAATAAAATACTTAAAGTAAATATGTACTTAAAATAGTTTCAAAAGTACTTTAAGTATTTTCCATTTAAGTACTTACTGTTAAAAATTACTTAAGTATTTTCAGAAAAAACTTTAAGTAGATTCGGATTTTCCAGTACATTTTTCAAGTAACAAGTAATACTTACAACAAAAGCGTTAATTTAAGTACAAGTACAAGTACTTTTTTTAAATGTAATAAGTACATTTTCAAAAGTATCGTTAGTTTATAAATACTTTAAGAAAAATACTTAAAGTAAATAAAATACTGATTATTTATTTCAAGTACTTTTTGTACTGAGTACCTCAGCTCTGATAGGTATGTAGTATGTATACCTAATATGCCAGTCTCAAGATGGTGTTTGTCTTCTTCAACAGTGAATGGTCGAGTGGGAAATCTTACTTATGCATTATAATTAATATTTAATTTTTTTTTATTTAAATAAGATTCCTGCCACCGGTGGTATTCAATCCTGAGACCTTTCGATCTCAAAGTCAGAAAAATATTGTTTTTCTTTTTTACTGATGTTATAACTGAAAATAGACCGTAAATTAATATTCTTTGTTATTTAAATATGCCTTTTGTCCGCACTGTGCCGATATGGTTTAAGGTTTAATTAGCAAAGATAAATAAATTTTAACTTAGTTTAGGTATATTCCTTACACAAGAAATAAATGTTGCATTGGAACGGGAAAAATAGTACAGTAATTAAAAATTCCTCTACTTCACACGACATTACACTTAAAGCGCGCTACGCATTCTCAAATAATAGCCGTTTACAATTGTCACAAAAATAATGAATGGAAAATTGAATTGGACGTGTTCCAAATACTTATTGTTTTCACAAAAAGACACAATCACGTTTGAAAAGCAAATACAATGGGTTTCTACTACTTGACGTAAGTCTGTTTGATGAAAGGCAAAATAAGTGTTAAAAATGGAAATACGTCAAGCCATAGAAAAATTAAAAAGCGTCAGACCGTTAACTCATCACACCTAATTTTGAAAAAATGACTTTGTTTTGTGATATTCTAGAAAAAACTGTTTATGGCTAACTCACTTTTTAGAAATACAAATTTTAGTAATAGAGAGTTATCGCCACTTGACGAAGAAGAAGAAAAGTTTTATTATTGTCAAGTAAATTTTTTAAAACTGTTTTATTACTGAGTTATTGCAAAAGAAAATTCGGTTCGCATAATTATTTTAATAAAGCTGATATATAACGGTTATACAGATCTGATGGAGAATATTTGGAACATCTAATTAATTCATTATCACTAATGGGGTAATAAATTCTTCTAATTTAGTTAATTCTATCTACGTTACATTTAATAAAGTACATATGTATTTTTATATGATGGAAAAAATTAAACTCATTAGCCAAACAGGCGTTGTGTTTAATTTTATAGAGGTAATATATTTTAATTAAGTTAAAACTAAACTATTTTTTAAAAAATAGAGTTAATATGATAAAAAGGTAAAAAGTAAAAAGTCCTACACTTCCTTGAGAAAATGGGATTAAAAGGGTCGTTATCAAGGGCGGCTCCATATCTCCATGTCCCCCAGAGAATATTTTTTTTATACAATCCTTGAGCCATTTATTACAAAAAAAATATGTGAATGGCTAATGCTACAACATGTCACAATATGACGTTTAAAACATAAATTTGTTTTACGTACTTCTGTATCTGTAACGTGTGGAGGGTGGGTTACTCCCACGGCACTTAGGACTCATTACAGGATTTAATGTAGTTGACAACGTCGCCAAGAGGTGCTTCTCTTATATCGGCCGGTGTTAGCCGATACTCGCCGAACACAAATTTTCTAATAAATGAGAGCGTCGAGCAATCGTAAAGGATATGCTCGATGATCTCATCTTCTTATTCGCACCCTCTGTAAAGTGCGGATTCTGACAACCCCATGATATGGAGATGCTTCCGTACTTGGCAATGACCAGTCAGAATACCTGTGACTAGGCGAAGATTCTGTCTAGTCATAGTCAAGTATTTGTTTGCTGCAGTGTTGTCAGGACAACTTATGAGCTCCCTGGCAACTCTGCAGTTTCTTGTTTCATCCCATCTTTCCTTGAATTTCACAAGGGAATGTTCTTTAATTAGGTCTGTCACTACCGATTTTGTCAGGCCAATAGAAGGGCCAGGTCCAAAAAGTATTTGGTTGGCTGCTTTCTTGGCTAGTGGATCAGCAAGACGGTTACCTTTCGATGTGGCGTGACCTTTGATCCATCTTAAGGTGACCACATTGTTGATGGATACTTCGGCCAAAGCTTCGTGACATTCTAGTACTAACCCTGAGTAAATTCGTGGTCTGTTCAGGATGAGTAGTGCTTGTCTGCTATCTGTATAGATGAGCTTGTTCCTTCTAGTGATATTGTTTCTAGTTATTTCTTTTGCTGCTATGAGAATCCCCGTTAGCTTTGTTTGAACTACACTGGCACTATTGCTCACAGCCCATTTTAGGTTTGGGTTTAAGAATCTGGAGTATATTCCACATCCTGAGCCTTGTTTTGTTTTAGAACCGTCGGTGTAGATTTGAATCGTACCTGCCACGTCCGGCTCTTCTATTTGTTCTATTATAACTTTATATGGCTTATATAAGATATATCTCGGTGAGATGGAGTCCATGTTAGCTTGAAGCAGGGGAACGTATCGTATTTTGGTAATTATATAAAAGTGACTTACCTCTAGCGTTGTTATCCTTACTGCCCCAATTGAAGTGATGAGCGGTTAAGTCGCAACCTATTACCAGCTCAAACTTCTGTTCGAGTGGGAGCGTATCGAGCGTAGAGATGGGTTGCTATTTCACAGTAGCAGGTTTTGTCACTGCTTTTCACTTGTCACTGGAGCAAAACGCTCCACGCCTCACCGAAAAGGTGCTACTTTTCGAAGCAGGTTCCGAGAAAAGAGAAAACGATATAAGTTCTTGTTCTTTTTCTATTGACTTATAAATAAACATGACATATATGTTCAAATATAAAATAAAAAGAAGAAAAAAGAAAAGTATGGTTAATGGTTCCGTGTTTATATTTGTTTATAAATAAATATAAACAAAAATATGTAAAAAGAATGAATAATTGTTTAATAGGTTTTAATAATATAAATTAAACTTCTTCTAAGGTAGGTTAGAAACAGCTATGTAATAATCCTTCTTCCATGGTGTAAGAAAAAGATCAACATGTTCAACAAATTTAATATATTATATAAAAACTGAAATACTTTAATGTCAAATACGTATAAAAACAAAACAGAAAATTCTTAACAATCAAATATTAAAAACAAAACAGTAAATTCTCAACAATCAAATATAAAAACAAAACGGAAAATTCTTAACAATAACATATTTATAAAATAACACAAATAGAAACATAGACATAACATTTTTGAAGCACAGATAAAAAAATATTTTTTATAAATTAACATTTAAAAATACAATTTTTTTGACTTTTTCTGCACTTAACCGTGATCTTCTATCAGTTAATATCTGCCCCGTTTTTGAAAACACTCGCTCACATGGCACAGATGTAGCAACTGTGCCTAGCTTTTCAATAACGACCTTCGATAAAAAGGGGTAATTGTACGAATGCTCTTTCCACCAAACTAATGGATCAGATTCTCTATTTAATAATTCTTCTTCTAAATATCTCTGTACTTCTACAATTGCTCTTGAAGATGAAGTACCAGTTGGCTAAACTGTTGCTGCTTTTTGGTCAAAATTAGTCCATATTGATAAACAACTCTTAGCCCTCGTAGATTCATCAGTACTCGTACTAGGGAAATAATTTTCAGTCTTTTCTGGATTATTTCGGGTACCTGCTTCTTGTTTTTGAATCTTATTTGCAACTAAATTTATTACCTCTTTTTTTGTTCGTTCTAATATACAATCACTTGAAAATGCTATATTTTTAAATCTAGGATCTAGAAAGGTAGATATTGTTAAGGTTCTACTACTTTCTAGATCTCCGAGGCGTGATTTAAGGCTATGTAACATTCTATTCACCATAGTAAGAGCTTGTTCAAATAATTCTTCCTTTTTTAATTCAGAAATCATATTTTCTAGTCCATTTGTTAAAACAATAATAGAGGATAAAACCATATAACTTTCACCACTTACCATTTTAGTTATGCATTCCAAAGGTTCCAAAACCTTTTTGGCGTCTTTTAAAAGTTGCCATTCTTCAACAAATATAATTGGCAAATTTTCTTTGTCCAACAGTGCTAAAACTGTTCTTATTACTTCCTCTAGTTCGAGAATTCTTTCCACCATATAGAATGTGGAATTCCACCTTGTTCGAACATCTTGAAGAAGTTTTTTCGGAGTTTTGCTATATTGCTTTTGGATGTCTACTAATTTTGTTGCTGCTGATGTGCTCCTTTTAAAATGAGCTACTAGAGTTCTTACTTTTTTTATAAGTGGTTCAACTATGATAATTGCATCCTCGGCGATTAAATTGATGGTACGCGCATAACATCCAAAATGTCTCCATTTTAAATCTTTAATAGCCTTGGTAATGTTTGCTGCATTATCTGTAACAGCCAGCAAAATTCTATTTTCTAGACCCCAAGTCACTACAATTTTGTTTAACTCAGTTGCCAAGTTCACACTTGTATGCGCTTCAGGAAAGCAAGAACACTCTAATAATATAGTATTGACTGAAGTCCAACAGTCCGTGGTTAGTGTGACAGATTTGGCATTTTTAACTATGGATTGGACTTTGTTTACTCTTTTTTCATAAATTTCTGGTAACAAAGTGTTACTAACGGTTTTCCTCGTTGGTATCTGATAACTTGGGTTTAAAGTGTTCACAAAATTACGAAAACCTTTATCCTCGACTATACTAATAGGCTGATAATCCCTAGTAATCAGTTCTACCAAACATCGGTCGATTTTATTTTGTACAAGTCGCCCCATAGTTTTTGGGGCGCACCACAGTTTTGTCTGTCTAATTATTTTACTACATGAAGAAGCTAATTTCTCATCAGTATCACTTTCTTTAATTTTTTCTGTACTTTGTCCTGCAGATATGTTTTCATCATTATTTAATGTTTTTTTGATTGCTTTGTAGGATTATATCCTGGTCATCGTTCATTTTTATTAGAGGGTGCTTTCGTTCTAAATGCTTTCTTAAATTAGTGACAGAAGTTTTATAACTAACTAACTGATTACATATATTACAATTGGCTTTTTTACCCTCTTTATTAGGTTCAAAATAATTCCAAATAATTGACTTATTCCGTCTATTCATATTAAATATAAAAAATACGGAAATCAAAACTTAGAAACACTTATGTATATTGAAAAAGAAACGAAATACGAAATGCAAAATGTTAATTTTTAATGAGTGAATCCCCGATATAATGAAAAGAGAAAAGTCGAAATTAATAACAATCATCTTATTTATTTTTGCCCTGGCCTAAGATGCATTTGGTCAGTTTCAACCAATCTTCAAGAAAACAAAATAAAATGTATACGAAATTTTCTCTATAGTCATTAATTTATAGATAGACAAATTTTACTAAAAACAGATAGCCATAAAACACTTATCGTTATCGCCATATGTGTGAAATATGAAAATTTTTTAAAAGCTGCTCCAAAAAATAGCAGTATTTTGTCACTGCTTTTTTGTTGTAGCAGAAGCGGTTGTCACTGCTTTTTAAAAATAGCTGGCTTTACCCATCTCTAATCGAGCGCCTCCTGCCAAAAGCGACGTCTCGCCTCAGCAGAACCTACATCAAGTTCTATTCCAACCGTGCGGAGGCGTGTTATTGTCGTCAGAGCAACCTCCTTGATGTAAATATCAAGAGGAGTGAGACTAAGAATGACTTCCATGGCTCTGGTCGGTGTTGTTTTCACGGCTCCTGTTATGTTGAGACACGCTGTTCTTTGATTTTGTTCCAGTTTACGGATAGCTATTAATTTTTGAGTTTTTGGTACCCAGACAACTGCACCGTATGTTAGCATAGGTCTTATGATAGCCGTGTAAGTCTATGCGACGACTCTGGGGGAGAAACTCCAGGTGCGTCCCACTTTTCGGCGGCATTGTTCATAAGCAATGTATGCTCTTTTAACTCTGTTTTCTAAATGCGAGTTCCATGTTAACTTGCTGTCACAGGTGAGACCTAGGTATTTCACCTGTTGCAAAGTTAATTTTATGTTTTGGAGTTCTGGAGGTTTTAATTCCACTTTCATCCTTTTCCTTCTGAAAAGGACCATTTCTGTCTTCTTAGGATTGATAGACAGTGAATGGTCCTTGCACCACTGTTCTATAATTTTTAGAGCTACTTGCATTCTTTCGCAAAGTATGTTCTCAAAATTCCCTGTTTGTAGAATGACCAGGTCATCTGCATATGCTATTGTGAATTGTGTATAACAGTTTATAAAATAATTTCAAAATACATAAGTTATTTTAAAAATTATGTTAGCTATTTTTAAAACCAGTTACGAAATGCCATATTTTATGTAACGAGTGAATATTTGCGGGACGAACAGGGCGAGATTCCGCAACATGAACGAGTAACATAAAACGGCACTTCGTAACGTGTTGCATACAATATTTTTTCTAATTTTGACTAGATTATTTATAAAATTGTGTTTTGGTAAGAAATTACTGACATCTAGGCAACCAATATTACTACTTTCTTGGATTTTTAGTTACATATGCACCACTTTATTGTCAAGTAGAACATAATATTAGTTATTTATTCTCAACGACTTGTAGTGTGTTGATATGGTTTATTAAAGTTATTTAGTTTTGAAAAAAGTGTGTTATATTGTCGTGTATTGTGTTTTAATTATGTTGTGATGATGTAGAATGAAAATACGGACCAAAACAATATTATTACTAGGTTGTAAGTGTAACCAAATTATATTTTTATAAGTTATACCTATCCTTTATTGATATAAACTTTCAATAATAATGTATATCAGTGATTTTGAAATCAGAAAGGGTTTATTTTAATTTTTCTTTTCGCAACTGGTGAATGTTTCGAAACCTTATAATGTTCAACATTATCCAACTGATCGCGTAAAGTAGATAATTTTGACACTACTTGCTGCGATTACAAAAAATGTCACTTTATATACCAAAATTAGAAAAAGTTGTTTATGTAATCATTATATGTTATCAGATTTGTACTACTTGTGCACTTAACCTAAATACGGCACTGTACTGACAACATGTATTTATTTATTACTTAAGTGATAAAATACTTCTCAAAAACATATCTAAGTAGAGGTCCTCGTAGGTTCTTATATGATTGAACCCTTAAATATAAACAATTTTTTTGGAGTCACGCGAACCTTGATTTTATAAGGATTTATCAAATTACCCTCATGTATTATATCATGTATATTTTTAGACATTACTAAAGCTTTTCCAATTTAGTTTTTTTTGGACACAAAAAATAGAAAGACAATCTATCAGTGTATTTATAAAAATAACACCAAAGTACTTACTCGAATTTTGACCCTATACATCGCGTCTTCTTTACCCAAACAAAAACATGCAAAAATAGATTTTGGTTACAATGCTTCGTGTTAGTTGGTGACAATAAGTCGATAATAATTAATAGCGTTGACTGGGTAACCCATCTTTCTTGTGTATTATACAGAAGGTCCTCGAAAAGGTCGTTTTTCAAATTATAATACTAGATAGAACAGAAGTAAAAGTTGGAAATGCTTTTGCCAGTTCTCCTACTTTGTACACTGGAATTGACAGTTGTTCCGCGGAATTAACCGAAGTAAACGCTTACCATAGGCGTAGAACATTATTTTATAGATGCTAATAACAATTTCGGGTAATCATGTAAATAGTTTAATAAATTGTGAAAAGCTGTGGAAATTTTGTAGAACTATAACTTCCGATATTATAATACTCGTTTAATAAATTATTTATAGCTTATAAATACATACGATTGCCCGGTTCCGCCGGTAACAATTTAAAATAATTGGTATTATTTTTATTTAAACAAATACTAGCGAGAAAAAAATAACGAAATAATTAAAAATATTTTAAATTGTTACCGCCCAGCAAAGACCACGGGGAGGTACGAGCATTCTTTGCCATAGGAAGGAGAGGTTAGGATTGTTAATAATGATTGATAATGTTAGTACATACATATAAATATATATGTTTATAATATGTATAAACGTATCACATTTAAAGTTAAATATATCACAGATAGAAGTAATTAGTAAATAAATTTATCACAGATATTGAAATAATTGGGATTTATATATAGTATCGGCAACTGAATTTTTTCCAATTCCTTTTGGACAAGTGCGTGTAAAAACTACAGAGAGTTTGCATTAGAGTGAGCTGGAAACGAATAATATCAGCGTTGTCAGTTTATATGGCCCGACCGCATTATAACGTTGGCCGCTGATATTCGTTTCCTGCTCGCTACAATGCTAACTCTCTGTAGTTTTCACATGCACTTGTGCAAACCGTATTGGAAAGCGTTCGATAGCTGATACTGTATTATAGATAGAAGTTATTAAGAAATAAATATCACAGATAGTAGTAATTAGAAATGTATCACAGATAGAAGTAATTGGGAAATATATCACAGATAGAAGTAATTAGTAAATATATCACAAATAGAAGTAATTAAAAAATATATCACAGAAGTAATTAGGATATATATCATAGATGATAAAAGTAATTTAGTAATAAATATCACAGATCGCAGCAGTTAGAAAATATGTATCACATTTAGAAGAAATTAGAAAATATATATCATGGATTAATAAATATATCACAGATATAACTTTTATAAAAACTAAAAAATAATTTAAGAACCCAACATTCAAAAAAGAAGTAAAAGTTTCTAATGAAAATTAAAAAATATTCTGAAACAACTAAAAAATCATTCTTAAAAATTGAATTAAATCTAAAAAAACTGATTTAATTCTAAAATCAAAATAATTCCAAAAAACTGAAATATTTCTAAAAAAAAAAACAAATAATTCTAAAAACTGAAATAATTCTCAAAACTGAAAATATTATAATAATAAAAATATTAATAATAATCATAATACTCTCCTTCCTATATTTCACCCCCTTACGAGTGAACCACTGAAGCTCCAGAGAAGAGCTTGTGTCATAGAGGAAGGCTATTATTATTATTATTATTATTAACTATTATTGTTAAAAAAAAGTAATTCAAACAAAAAAAATATTGGAAAATTAAAATATTAAATCCTATAAAAAAGCAAATGTGATGGAGGGTCAGTCAGATTCTATAAAATCCTCAGGTGCTAGATTTTCTGTGAAAGAAGAGTAAAAGTCTTTCAGTGAGTCACCGGAGGTATTCGTATCATTAGTAGGATTGTGATAATTAAAATTAATTTCGTCCTCACTGTCACTAAAGTCGGACTCATCAGAACTACCTGTATTAACTCTAAAAATTAAATTATCATGAGCATCGTCCAATAGATGTTCCTTTTCGATTAATTCTAACTCGTGCTTTTTTACATGTTTGCATACATTAACCCACTGCTCAACAGTGACAGATGAACAGTTTTGTCTGGCAAGCTTTTCCACATCATTCAGTTTGTAGGTGATATTATGAGTACCTACCCAATTTTTTACCAAAGCCCAGATTTTTTCAATTGGGTTTAGTTTGGGGTGATACGGTGGCAATATTAATACCGAATGGCCGTGTAATTTCATTATTTTATCCAATATTTTGTATATCTGGATTTGTGCTGTTGAATTATTTCATATAATTGTGCCTTCGTCATAGAAGCTTGATGGTCTATATTTTTGTCTGTCAGCCAGCTTAACATGTGGTCCTTCCTAGAAGAAAATATGGGACTTTTTTCTTCTAAGGTATTATGATAAGATGCATTATCTATGACTAAGACACTATTGGCAGGAATATTGGGAATAAGTTGTGTTTGTATCCATTTTATAAACTTTTCGGTGTTCATGTCATCGTGAAAGTCACCAGATTTGCTTCCAGATTTAAAAATTAAAAGTCCATTCTCCACAAAGCCCTTCTCCCCACCTGCATGAACTATAATAAGTCTTCTGCCTTTACTATAAGGTTTTCTTAGGTTTAAACGAGGATTTACTTTATCTATCCAGGTATTAGGACGAGTGTATGAACTATTTAGATATGTTTCATCTGTATAAATTATGTTTCTACCTTCTTCACGATATATTTTCATTTGTTGTAAATATTTCACCCTTTTTATTCTGATATCATAACTCTCCATCAACACTTTTCTGTTGTCTGGGGTTTTTTCCCAAGCGAAACCTAATTCTTTAACAACTGTTTTTAATGTTGAGAGGCACCCTTCAAACCCTACTTGAGCATTCTGTGCTTTTTTAAAAACTGCATGCAAGCTAGGTCGTTGTTTATCAATTACGCAAAAATCATTTATTATCTGCCTAATTCTTTCACCCTGCCCTTGAGAAATATTACTTTTAATTTCAGCTTGTCCCCCACGACTTTTTGGGGAAGAAAAAGAAGGTATACTACCTGAATCAATAGAAGCTTTTTCCTTTTTAACTTTGGCATAAGTATTTATAGAAATTCCCGTTGCTGCTAAAACACGAGCTCTACAGTCATGCAGTGGTATTTGATCCCCATTTTTAGCCTCGTTTTTCATGAATTTAATCACATTAGATATAATTTCTTTTTCCCTGACTGTAAATGGCTTACCTTTGCGCATTTTGGTTAATTGAACACAGGAAAAAAACACCGAAAAAACAATTCTAACCTAACTTTACCTTAAATTTAACTTAATTTTACCCTAACTTACTTTATGCACGACACTGGCAGATAAACATTCGTGCGAAATTATCGAAGTATTCCGACGGGATTTGACGTTTACCCCCTCTCTACCTACCAAAAGACTTTTCAACTTTTACTTTCTCTATATTTCGCTAAGGGATATTCCTTTTCTATGGTTGTAAGTCGGCCAAAATAAAACCTAAATCTAAGCTAACGTAACCTTACAATAGTGTATTATTCAACATTCAATAATTATAACTGTTAGGTACTCTCAATTTATATTTTATATAAGTACCTAAATGGCATATGCTCGCATCGCAAGTACATCTTTAAATATAAATCGGGTTATTAGGCCTATTAACACGAGATTTTTCTTTTTCTTACTTATGTTGCTTTTACACTTTCTTCTTTTCTTTTTTTTCTACATTACAACATTGTGTTTACATATTATTATTCAAATTCGCGTGGCCATTAGGGAATAGGTACATACGTTGTTGTGTGTTGTACAATTGTGGGATTACCTTACTATTGTTCGGTTAATTTTATTATTGATCCGTATCTTCTGGATTCGTAATGATGCACCTTGTTATGTACATCATGCTGTTATCGGCATAATTATATTTTAATATAGAAATGTATTTCATGTTGGGCGCCATTTTGTAATCTAAAAATTACACTCGCTGGTTACTTTTTAATGCTAGAGCTTCCTAGATTCACGATTCTAAATAATAAAAATGACTTAAAATAAACTGAATTGTATCAAATAAATAACAGAAAATATTTATTAAAACGGCGACATAAAGAAGCTGGGAAAGCAATCTGCCGATGTGTTGCAATATTCATTAAGAAGAAATTATATCAGTGGAGCACAACGTTTAATAAGACATTAAGCGTTCGTCTAAGCTGTAAAAAGCAATAAACTACTAATTTTGGTCGAATGTAAAAGGAGTAAAGGACGCGTGAAAATGTGTTTTGTCTATATGCTTGAAAGAAATGGGCGTCTGAAGGACAAAGGCCTTTTATAATAGATCGTTCACATTGATAAAATTAATGATGTGGAAGGTAGAAGGTGGTTTACCGATAAATGACCTTGTGATACATAGTAGCAGAAAAACCTATCAAAATATATAAATATTATAAAGTTGCTTGAAGTAGAAATTAACATAACCAGGACATATACTTATGGCGTGCTACTTTGGGATTATGCTAAAATCTAAACAAATATGAATATTATCCAGAAAATTTAAAATACAGTAATAGGAAATATTTAAAAAGAGAAATCTTTATTAAGTAGGCAAGCTGTATTGAAAACATAGAATAAATGGCTTTATTCATCCGAGCAATTAATACTAGAGAGAGTCTTCCCCCCTTCCCCGCGCTAAATTTTGTAAGCAACATCTACTCCCCGGGGGGGATCGCTCTCCTGTAATTGGCTTATTTAATCAGCGTTGCCAAGTTTGACAGTGCCAGTTGTGACACATGTCAATTTTTAATTTGTATTTTACGAAAAATATAATTAATTATAGCTTTGTAAGGGCTGTAAATGTATATTTAAGTTTTATTATCTCTAAAAATATGGTGAAAACATGCTTTATGTGTAAAAGACCTGTTGAAAATACTTCTTCAAGATTATATCATAAGTAAGTACACAACCTAATTGCCAGAGGCGTTGCATTAGGCAATCACCTTTAATTTGCAATTAAACTTTCTTATTTTCTTATCGAATAAGTAAAATTAAGAGGGAATAAACCCCAGCTAAGTTCGTCTTCATCCGTCTCATAATGATTATAGTAAAGGTTAATTACTTATTAACATAAATAAAAAATATTTAAATCTGTGACTTTATTTTAATATCTTTTTAAAGTTTATTTTATTGTAGGTTTTTTTTTCTTGATATTATTATAAAAAGAAATAAATGGTTCCAAAGTAACCATCTGAAAAACTTTTTATGCTAATAAAGATTTTTATTATAGAGCTCAGGAGAGGAAAAATTTAAAGAAAAATGAAATTTCAGTAAATTTCGACGAGAGAGGTATCATAATCAATCCTGTCACTACTTCCTCTCCATATTCATCTGCTACTAAAATACTAAAATAGCAAGGAAAGCAGAGAAACTTAAGTTTCTTTCAAAAAGAATGTTTAAGGTAAAAGACAAAGCCACTTTTTTGTTGATAATTTTTACTTTCCTATCTGTATACAGATATAAAGAAAGTATAGGAATCATGATTTTTTTAGACTTCGAGTTTTCGACGGATTTTTACGTTTTGAGGTCCCCTGAATCCGTTTTGACTATTTTCGCGATGATGATGTGTGTGTGTGTGTGTGTGTTGTGTGTGTGTGTGTTGTGTGTGTGTTGTGTGTG